AACTCGGAAGTATGAGTATAATAATTTAAACTGTATTGTTATTATTGAAACTTTTTCTGTAATAATACTTTTTTTTCCTTTTTTTTTCTCTAGGAATTAGAATTTTACTACTAGTGATTCTTTGATTAGACTGTTAAGATTTCAATCAAGTCTTACTTTTGAGTAGGAGATGTGTTTCCCTTTTGCCCATAACAAGGTTTTGAGCCTAACAAAAATACAGAGATTCCCAGTAGGGTATGGAGAGATGGCTAGGTGTACCGATATTTAGGTAGGTCTCGTTTCCAGTGCTGCCGTCTTGCCTGTAGCACACACTAATATCTCCACAGGAGAAGGTCAGTCTAGCTCCTTACACTGAAGGTATTCTTTGCTGAGAAACTCACAGTCAGGGGACAACCTGTTCTGGGAAGCAGCAGTTTTGAAAATGACTGGGCCTTTGCGGACATCTGAACACAAGTTCCTAGGAAGACACTGAAGGTCCTTGGATTATTGCAGTAAGTGTTTTCAACAGGACACAATAATGCAAGGAGGACAAGGTTATGCCACCTCTCTACTCTAGACCAGTGAGGCTGGTTTCCTGTGGCAGCACATGGCGGAGAGGAACAGCGAGTCAATCTGCTGCTGCTTTTTTTCTTTTGTGCCATACCACTGCTTGCAGATATTCATGCTATGAGTTCAGGGATCAGCAGTGAAAGTACTTCCATGAAGAAAGGAAATCTGATATCATGAGACTCTCCAGTCTAACATAATGGCATAACAAGATGCTGCAAGTTGTAGCCAGACAAATTCAGTCTGGAAATAAGATGCACATTTTTAACCTCAGAGGTCATTCATAGGAAGAGTTTACCAAGTGTCCCCATGGATTCTCTGTCGGTGGAAATGTTTTTTATAGAGAATGGTCTAATCGAGGATGGGGTACATCTACAATGTAGACATCTATACCCGAGCTGTTCCTCCTGGCTCCCCTGAGAATCAGTGGAAAGACAGAGGGACTTCCAGGAAGCTATTAATTTGTCCTGTTGCTAACATCTACTCCACAATCGAGTAGGCTGGAAAGGGTTATTTATTACTGGTGGCTGTACAAGAAGCTTGAGTGAATAGCTCTGGTGGAGAATCCCACGTTAAAAACATCCACGGTATGATGCGGTGGGCCCCACCACCGACGTCTTTTCTGACAGATCTTCAGTTCAAAGAAGAATAAACTCTTGAGGTCTATGCTATAATGA